AGATAAGAAATGTACGAATTCCTTGGCGCCATCTCAAAGAATGTTTGCTATGGGCGGCTCGGGGACCTTTCGAGTTTCACAATAGCCTCCTGCTAATGAAGCGGAAAATGACCTTCAAGTGATCGATGAAACCTCAGCATTCAGGTGGAAAAAAATTAGAAGAACCCCATTGGTTTTGTATGGAATTAAGAATTTTGCTGTTGTTTTTAACCTTTGAAAAGGACGTACAGTGTCAATAGCAGCAACATATGCTACACCACTAACATTTTTGATGATATCCTCGTAATCATCAGGCCGATTGGGATCATTTTCAAATTTTTCAATAAGGACAGACACTGCTGAAGGTATAGCACCCCCGTTTCTCTAAGAAAAAAACGATGAAACCACTGCTACCCGATCTTTGCGAATTATGTAATGGACTTGAACACGCACCACGACGTTCTTGGCAACATCCACAGGTCTGTTAAGCATTTCTGTCACATTCCTTCTGATTTGATACGATTCTCTCAAGAAATTGGCTCCAGGGAACCACAAAGGTATATATCTCACTAAATAATTCCAACTATTAGCGAGATCTTCATTTGGGAATTCCGAAAATCGCTTACAAATAGGGAATAAATCCACTAGGAAAGTTCCGGGTATGCCTACTTCGACGACGCGTTGCATTGTCGTCTCCGAGAGTACAATAAAGGGATCTTCTTCAGATTTTGTTTGGATTCCATATGTAACCTATATTATTGGTATAGCGATTGGCTGAACGACACTGTACTGACCTCTATTATTGCTGCGCCTACAATGTACCGAATATGAGTCCGATAACTTTCTGGTGACCGATAGAGACGTTTCAATAACACCCTAAATGACAACAGAGAATATGAAAAAATAAGTTAATCTTCAGAGGACTAATCTCTTGGAGTGCTAACGCACTTGGTGAATTTCATCTGGATCTCATGGTAACCCTCAACAGCGGTCTGATTTCGCCATATTTTCCCGTATTGTGTCCATATCAACGCCCAGCGCAAATTGAATCTACCGAAAAAAAATTGATTCAGCCTGAGGCCCGAGACCGATATTTCAAAAGAGGTGAACTTGAACACACAAATCATTCACGACCGTCGATTCATGCCTCCCCTCTTACCGAATAACTCCTTGGCAAGCTCGTAAAAATCGACGAAAAGAATTGAAGTATTTAAGCTTTACAAATCAGAACTGTTGCGCCATATACTTTTCCTAATACCTAATCGATGTGATTGGTTCAAGTAGATAAAACATATCGCCTGTTACGGTGAAACAGACGTCCTTCAGTATTAGAGAGAAAAAACACTACCATATTGCTTCGCCCATCGATCAAAGGTTGACCATTCTTTGCTTTTCAGCAGATCAAGTAAGTTTCCGATTAAAAAGTGACCAGGTGGTCCAGGTGGGTGTTTCAAACCTAAAGTCGTTGAGTATGAATATGTCAGTTTAGGTAAATATAAAACAGGACCACACACCTCGAGGGATACGAAAGTTCCACCAACGGCACGCAAGATAAGCTACGAGTCCCGCGATCCCGGTATAGACAACAGTTGAAAAGGACATGGAAGTGGAAAATGGATCTAAAAATGCTTGTGCAGCAGACTGCAAGGATTATATGTAAGATTCAGAACAGGACGTAATATCAGAGTGGGGACGTGTCGCACTCCTTGATTCGGAAAATGCCTTTCCCGTTCAGTTGCAAAGCTTAACTTCAAGTTGCAAAAGATTAGATTTAATTGGACTGCAGTCGACAGGATACATGATTCCAGGAATTATGATGATGATTCAGAGAGAAAGAGTGGTAAGATGAAGGCTTTTCTTCCAAGTGTTAAACCTTGACACGCTACTGTGGGCGCGATGCGGACAACATGCAGAACGTCTTATCAAATATGTTTTCTGTAAGCGGAAATGAATTGCGTATATTTATTGAGAAGAATGGCGTTCCAAATCTTCTGGTTTTCTTCTTCTTATCTTGGGTAATGAATCCACCAAAACCTGCATCCGCTCCTTTTCTTCTCTCAACCTTGTACGACACACAGTCCTGTAACATATCAGATTAGATGTATTAAAAAAAACGAGGTTTTTAATTACTTACCAAATACCCATCGAAATAAACAAGAATGATCCCATAGTCCAATTATAGGCTACAAATCGTGCTGAAAGAAGAAAAAAAAGTCAGGGAGATTCAATCAGGAGTAGAAACCAAGGTGTACATGAATTAAAGCCTCTTATTATCCCAAATCCGAGCCCGCCTGCAATTCCGCTCAATAAACTTGTTCTGGCACATGGTACTTGACCAAGTTTTTGAATGAAAGAGTTGGCATTGTCCTCGTCTACATTGGTGCCCATTAGCAAGGAGATTACATAAGGCGTTATGTAAGAGGTTTTTTGAGCCCCAAGTTGGCCTCAAGCACAAGTTACAACTTGAAGAACATCCGTTTACATTATATACTCAAGTATAGACAACAACAAAAATACAAATAGCACAACAAGAAAAACAGGAAAAGAGCCCATAGTTTGAGGATAAACGATCACAACAATTACATAATTACGCCGTAAAATCCAACTTCCGAGCTACATTCCGTCCATCACTTATTCCATTTGCCATGGATGCCTTCCGTTTTAAACGGTTCACTTCACCCCCATTCTTTGGTGGGAGAGCTGGCTTCGGCGAAAGAGCGGGTGAATTCGCGTCTAATTCTTCCAGAGGTAAAGGTCTATTCGAATGTGCGCCTTTTGCTTTAGGTAATTTAGACGGATAAGTGGGATATGGAAGACTGAAAAAGTAAGGATGTTGAAGTGCTTCTTTTGCACCAATCCGTTTTCTCGGTTCATAAGTGAGAAAGCGTGATAATAACGCGACAGCTTCAGCCGATGCTGCGGTGAATAGATCTCGTAATTGAGGTTTCGGAAATTGACCAACTGGAACGTAATCTGGTAGCTTTGTGTGTCCCTGGAATGATGTATATGAAGTTGGAGCTCAAAATAAATAGATAAACTGTGAAAACATACCGGCCATTCTTCTTCTGTAGGAGTTCCTAACGCACGGAAAGTAGTTTTAAGTTGATCCATATCACTTTCGCCTGGGAGATAGGGAACCCGAAGCATAAGTTCGGCAAAGATACAACCCACAGACCACATATCTACAGCCGAGCTATAATATCGACACCCGAATAATAATTCTGGCGGTCGGTACCATCTAATTTTTGATTTTGACGTAAAGTGAGAAAGAAGTTTGAGTCACACTAAACAATGGAAAACATACCTTGTGATCACTTGACACGTCATTTTATGACCCGGGTCAGCGAAATCTCTCGCAAGACCAAAATCGGCTATTTTCAATTGTCCATCCGCTGCCACCAGTAAATTGTTAGGTTTAAGATCCTGTCAAGGAGATCAATAATGTATCTCAAAAGATCTTTAAAAGTTACTCACACGATGTAAAATGAAATTCCGGTGGCAGAATTCAAGCCCGCGTAAGGTCATAGCAAGCCAACTTTTAATATCAGCTGGTAAAAACACGTTTGAGCGGTCTTTAATAATCAATTCCAATTCAGATTCCAGAAATTCGAGGACTAGGTTAAGATTCTTTTTGGCAGAGAAGACATCTAATAACTTGATCCGAGTCACAAAATGGGATAGAACAAATGAGTAAAAGACATACTTCAATGACGTTTGGATGACGAATTTCCCGTAGATATTTAACTTCACGAATAGCAGACATGTCTAGTCCATCCTTAAATTGTCCAACTTTTATTTTCTTGATAGCCACTTGTCGACCAGTGGCGACTTCCCTTCCTATAAAGATGTAATCAATTACAACAATCATGAAAACGACAGCAATGAATCCATACCTCTATATACAACCGCATATGTACCTTCACCGACTTTTGCAAGTTTCTGCCTTAAGATGGAGAGGTTACACAACAATCCGGACGCCGTATAACAAACTGCACGCGCACCAGCGACCTTGTACTGCACTATTAGCCCGTTCTACAACATCCATTATTACTATCTGTGAAAGCTGTAAGTCATGCACCATTCAATAACTTGAAAAATTACTCACTAACAATGTTAAATTATTACAAAAACCCGCAAAAGTGCGGTACGATGTGTGTGAAGGTTAATCTAGTGATATGTTTGAAGGGCGTTTCATGGGCGCTTAAATAACTGGAAACTTCCGATGGTGTGGACTTTGGAGCTCTCACTCTACGGACAACGTGGATGTCCTCCAAAACAGGAACTGAAATACCACCTCCGGAAAATTATATTCCGTCAGATTATAAGGATGTTCTTCGAGTAAGATTTTTCACGAAATTCTAAACTTGTTCCAACATTGTTGACATAAAAACAGAACAAAACTACAACGCAATGGACGGAGTAAGTAATAAAATGCAAACTAAATCGGAAACATATCATTCAAAGTTGCAATTTTTTTTTTCTTTCCCCAAAAAAAGTCCATGTAGTCATTCTTCCAAAGTATCATTTTCCATACTATTATATTAGAGCATTGCTAAAGAGTTTTGACAACTTCCAATTAGGCTTCGATGAAATGTCTGGACCGAAATAATTACGATAGGGATAAATGTCTCGAATACTTTCGAGCGTATAGGGAATGTAAAGCAATCTGGGTAGAGATGTTACAGTCCTTTTTTTTTCCGTTCTCTGAATATCACGTTTCAGCTGGAACAACGACGGGAAGATCGACGAGCAGGAAAATCGGTATAATGCGGATATGCTTAAAAAATGTATATTATCACCGTTGTATGACTAGGATTAAATTTGATTCCAAAAAAGCACATCGTGCCCCCTGGCCGACTTGAACGACCGACCTCGTCATTACTAGTGACGCGCTACTACCACTGAGCTAAGAGGGCTATAGGAGGTCTGTCATTTGGTGAGAAGATGTGGGGGTACACTAGATAGTATCTCCCGTTTATAAAAAGAAAAAGAAACCAGTTACCATCATCTAAGAAAAGATATGCCCCCTGGCCGATTTGAACGACCGACCTCGTCATATGTAGAGAAATACTAGTGACGCGCTACTACCACTGAGCCAAGAGGGCCGTGATGTCTCAGAATATTTCTTAGCTACACGTTTCACGTGCACGGGTCAATCCGTTTGAATAAAAGCATCAAAGATAATCAAGTAATTGTAATATATGAGACAGCAAAGGTTTAACAGAGGAAAGAGGAAAGCTAATCTACTTGTTACTACAATGTAATACTATAACGGATATGACCACCATCTGGAAATCGAGAGAGAGAAAAATGTAAAAGAGGAAAACAGTTAACAATCAAGTGGTATAGATATCGCTTTAGGGTTTATTTTCACCACAACAAACGCATTTAGAGCTATTAATCGTATATCAGCAATGTAAGGATTATCATAATGAGAAATGTCCTTACTCAAAACTCTTATTAGGAACAGCGCACACACGACATGTCCAACCACTTGAAACGGGGGCTTTCATCCCTGCTGCTGACCAGTCGAAACCCTTGACTTCCGTCTTTGGAACAGGTGCATTTTCGCCACAACAAACGCATTTAGAGCTGTCAATTGTTTCTCAGTAAGACAAGATAAAAATCATAATGAGGGACCATCCTTACTCAGAAACCTTATTTGGAACCGAGCATACGCTACATGTCCAACCACTTGAAGCAGGTGCTTTTATACCTGCTGCTGACCAGTCGAAACCTTTGACTTCCGTCTTTGAAGGAACGGATGCAGCTTGTTGTGATTTGACATTAAGAGCAGGTTTAAGTACGGACCCCGCATCGAAGCTAAACTTTGGCAAAGACTCTACAGGTAATGCCAGAGCAGCATTACGCTCAGCGGAATGACCATCATCCATGACAACGGGAGGTATTATGAAACGGAAAACGGGAAGAGTAAACGGGTTCACAGCGAGAACAGCTTTCTTAATGGCTTCTTCGTTATCTTCTACCTTAGAGGACTTTCCAAAGGCAGCGATAGTTGGGGGAAAAAACGCTGACGAACTTGTTCCAAACTGAAAAGGTTTGGTTACGCCTGTTGATACCATGGCGCTACTTGTAGAAACCGTGGGTGCTTGACTAAAGGTAAACCCGTTAGTACTCGGGGTAGTCGTTAATATCTTGTCCTCTGTTGAAGAGGCTCCAAATTTGGGGACAGAGCTGAACGATGTGTTGGACGAGGCGCTTCCGAACGAGAACGTACTGCTTCCTCCAAATAAGGATGTTGCCGTAGTTGTTGTGGCTGTAGATGTAAATGATGATGACGGTGATGAAACCTGCGACGATTCGCCACTTGATGTAACTGGAAAAACAGGCGCAGTCGTAAAAGCCGAACCAAAGAGAGAAGTAGTTGTGGTTTCGGGCTGCTTAGGTTTAGAGGGAGCGACATTTGTTGGAGTACTATTATCCGATTCTGGTTGGAAACTATTCCGAAGTGGTGATGGTTTTTTGGGAGTAACTCCGAATCCATTGCTCGCCTTGCTCAATGAAGTAGGATATAACGTCCGCGATACTGCTGGTTTGGATGTATCTGATGCGTCAGACTCCATCGGTTCAACTATCTCCGATGGTCGTAAGACGTTGTTCGTCGAAGCAGGAGCCGGTGTGGTCATATCGACATCACCATCAATGTCAATGATTTCCACAGATTCTTTAATCGGTTCCAGAGGCTTCGTTTTTTCAGGTTTAGCCCGCTTCGCAGGTGGCTGCTCGTCATCATCATCATCGTCTATCTCAATCACGTCATGAATCACTGGACTAGGTCGTTTAGGTTTGTGTGATTGAGGTGATGATCCAGTCATTTCAGCATGTACCCGTTTGGATTGAGCTTGAACTGAACTTGGTGCACTTTGTTCAATGGTTTCCAGGGCTGTGGGTTTTCTGGGTGGTTGGGGTGGCGGTGTAATTTCGGCAGAGACGGTTCTACGCGCAGGTCGAGGTGGAGGTCGTGCTGGTTTTGTAGACTTTAAATGGTCATCAGGATCAATACACAATATATATTATAAATAAAAACAAACCTTTCGAGCACGTTTAGATGCTGGACGGGTATCGTATGGATTGGTAAGATCAGGATTCAACGATGACGCCTACAAAATAAAGTTAATCACAGAACAAAGAAAACAACAACAACGAACCTGTTCATCTTTAGGCCGACTAGCACTTTGAATGATTTCGGTCATGATCGCCAGGGCTTTAGCCTCGCTTTGTTTTGCAATCTTGCCATTCGTCTTAGCTTCAGGCGTACCCCGATTAGAACTAGGACTACCAGGACTTGAACTGTCTGCACGCATACTTTGACGCAACGGACTCGGACGAACAGGGGTAGTTGAAGTGAACCGGTTATTAGAGCCACCCAGCCGTATATTACTAGGCGCGGATACGGGTGCAGAAGTGGGTGCTTGAGCACGGGAAGTTCCGATAGTTCCGTGTCCGTTAAGAGCTGTGGCTCCAGTTCCAAATTCCTTTGTTTGAGAACTTGATGAAGCAGTTTGAAAAAACGGAGTAGATGACGCAACAGCTGATGAACTACGTTCTTCATCAATACGTCGACGTTTACCATCACTGGTTGAAGACGTCAAATTTGATATGCCATTACTACTTCCTATCTTGCTCTCTCCAAAATCTCTTGAAAAAGTAACTTTTTTGCGTGATGAAGAGGTGCCAAAGGCCGAGGAACGATATCGAGATTTGGCTGAGCTACCACCTTGGAACATTACAGTTCCGTTCGGATTACGCGTCAAAGACCGGGACGACGAAGCATATTTTGTTGTCGAGGAGGTAGTAGTAGTAGTAGTATCCGGTTGAGAAAAAATAGCGGCAAAGTTAGTATTTGGAGTCGTAAAAGTAGGTTTGAGTGGCGTCTCAGGCTTTAGAAATACGAATGGATTATGATTTGGAGAAACATCCCTGGAGGGTGTTGAAGTCGCTGAATTCGATCCTAGTAAGTAGTGGTCAGAAGGAGGTTTTTCTAAAGGTTGTTGACTGTAGTCACCTTTCACAGCACTTTGAATAAGCATGGTAAGACCCATTGCTTCCACACCGCTGACTTCTCCCCCTCTGGGACGAATAACATTATCAAGATACTGCGATACTTTTTCCAAGGGATCCTCTCCTGTTTTGTTAAGACTTGAGGAGGGTGGTAACGGAGCCACGTATGGCTGCTGTCGCCGAGAAGTAAAAGGAACAGAAGGTCCAGGCTGGAAGGGAGAGATGCGTCTGCTATTAAGACTAGGACTTGGTAGTTGAAAACGGACCTGACGCGGCGTCGGGGAGATAAGTTGTCTAAAAACTTGATCTTCCGAGACAATGCTAGAATTCATCATCGACGAGGAATCAGCATCATTGCCATCCTCAACAACTTCCTGAACCTGAGTTCCCGCATCTTTCCCGTTCTCTCCAACGTTTGGTTCAGCAACCTCTTCTGAGGGATCTGAATCCTCGTCACTTGATTGCGTATCCTCGCTCCTCCAAAATGTTAACGCCTTCCAAATAGTAGGTCGCCAGCCTCTCGATGCTGCCTGAAATTCAAAACGTTAGACGCGATCGTATACTATCCAGTGAAAAAAAAAACTGATTTACCATTTTATCTTTCCTCCCACGTTGATTATAAGGTGAACTTTCTCTTCGCTGAGTTCGACGTTTCTCAGCAACTTCATTGCGACTCGGAGCAGGCATACTTGCCAATGGCTGGGGGTTGTGGAGCGGAAGTAAAACACGAGGAAAGACCCAACCCAAACGCCGTTATAACATAGGCATTACGTAACCCTGAAAGGGGTTCTCCAGTCTCCATGTCTCAGAATATCATCATTGGACAAAAACACCTGCCCATTCTTTTCTCAAAAAAGTTTAATAAGGAGCTGCAAGACATTGGGAAATGGACGCACCCCACCCGTTTGGACATTTTCGACGCCTTACGGATTGACGGTCCTTCAAGTCCTTCCATATTGCCCAATCAAAATTCTTCTCGTGTCCGGTGGGAAATCTGTTTCCATTTGTATTGTGTCAGAATACGATTTATAAACAATTGTTCCAAGATGTCCAGTGGACGCAGTTAAAATGACCTTGATCTAACCTAAATCTGAATATTCTGAACTAAGACTCGGACAGTCGCAGCCAGGGCTGTTAACAATATTCGCGACTTCTCAGCTTTGTAACTCCCTGCACCAAACCCAACGTATAAAACATATTAGGAATATATTATAAGAAATTACCGGAGACAGTATTACATGAAAAACGTGTAACCCCCCTGTCCACTTAGAAAGGGACCTACCGAACTCCAACGCAGAAAATGTAATTTTTCTGGCCACACTGGTCCGGGTTCATTTCTGTTGTCCAGCTAATTCAAGAGTTTACCTTGAGAGGCCCTTAATGGTTTGCTTCTTCTCGTGCGTTTTCGGTCCAACCCTTTCTGACCATACAACACATTTTACTAAGTCGCCTCCCAGCCCGGACCGACCTATTATTGTCAAGAAGGATACAATAAAGGAACTCTCTAGGGGACAAGCCGATACTTGTCATTGGTGAGCAAGAGGCATCTGATTGACCAATGGAAGCATCGTGCTTGCTTTCGCACACTTGTAAATACAAGCGACGTGAGCTCGCTTCCTTCTTCCTCGAGTACAATGTCCTCTTCACCTTTACTAAGAAATTCTAGGGGGAACCCTTTCCAACGAGTGAAGCACAAATTCCAAGCTTTACGCAAAAATCCAACGCATTTGTTGTCTCCGAACTCCCCTGCACAAACCGGAATTAGTACCGCTAATGTATCCAATGTATCTAATGATACTCCCAGTCCGGAAATAAATCAACACCAAGACACTATAGTCCCTCAACATTATCCCCCTACCCCGAACAGTTCTTCTCCAGACTCCGAACCCAGCACCTCCGAGAAACCCCGAAAGGATTGGGGTATGGTATGGACCGGCCTGATTACTGTCCTACGACTCCTGGAAAAAAGTGCAGATGCGTGCCCTCCTCTCAAGTCAGCCGCTGGTGGGTTAGTCGCCTGTCTGGATTTAACACAAGTAGGTTTCACCAACAGATCCACCGGTCACTTGTCTTACCTGATTTA